CTATTATATATATGTGTGTGTGTGTTGTTATTATTATTACAATATCCTTTGTCTAGAATTTGTTTCTTATAAGCCAGATTGGAAATAATTTTGTTGTAATTGTTCTGAAAAGAAGCATACAATTTTCAGTAATAAAAATAAAATAGTATTAATGCATAGTCAGGATGATGGCTGATTAATGCAGCTTGCATTCATGAAACAAAGATTTGAGAATACAGTATACCGCTGTATTATCAATATTGCTCTTCATTTGTCAGATTTTGGACTGTAATTGCTTTGGGGTAGAAACCTCTCTTGTGCAATGCCATGATCAAATACAGATACAGATACAGAGCTTTCTATATGACCAGAACTGGAAGTGGGGCTGGCAGATAAATTGATAAAGAAGCAGGAGGCAATAGTCTCTTCCAAGCGAAATTATTTCAGGGGTGAGGGGGAGTACTAAATGGGAGTTTCCAAAGGAGCAATCAAAATGGAGGGAGGAGAGCCATCCTCAGATAGAGTACACAGATTCCAATTTCACAGGCTGGACTAAGAGGAGGAGAGGAATCTCCTTCTAGCACCCAAGGAGGATTATATTGTGCTCCAGCATCTTCTCTCCACCCCCCAGCAGATGGCCAGGACTATCAGCTCTAATAGTACACCTCACTGTTTAAGGGGAAGAGAGAGCCTGGGTTCTTATTTTTCTTCCCACCAGATGGTCAATAGATAGAGCACTGAACATCTGCACTGTGAGAGAAGGGGAGGACTTTGTGTCAGATCTTCAGCTTGGCTTCTGCATTTGTGGATTTCAGCCAGTATTGCCAAACTGTCACACAAAGAACAATGATATGGGATGGGTAAAGTGATGCCACATTGTAAGGACATTGGGCTCACTGTAATTGTATGAGTTTTTCTCCCACACTGAATGAAAGTACTCCATGGGGGAGCGAGGGGCTATTATTGTAGCAGACAACATCAATGGATGGGTGGGAACATGACAAACAAGAGAGAACAAAAGTGATTGGACCAGTCAGAGATCCAACAATGAATTAGAATGGTGATTGTTTGATGAGTGTTTGCTTAGAAAAGGGTATTCTGGTTTTCAATATGTGATTTAAGCATTGGCATATTCATCTATATACATGGAAGAAGAAGAATAAATCAAAACCATGATTGATTTGGTTGCTCAAGATGAAATATTGAGACAATTGGTGAAAGATACAAAGATGATGAGATTGAAAGAAGTGAAAAAAACTAGAGTGAAAATAGAACAATTGCAGGAAGAAAAAGTGCAAAAAAGAAGATAAGATTAATCTCCCAGAATTAAAAAAATGTGGGTGAGAAACCTTCTTGGAACAGAGTGCAAAGAATTATATTTCAGTGTGTAGTTATGCTAATGGGAAGTAAGAAAAAGGATGCTTGGTAGAATGATGAAATGAAAGAAGCCATGGATGGAAAACAAAAGCATATTAGAGAATGATTGCTGAAACAAATTAGGATAAAAGATATTGTATAATATGTACATAGAGAAAAAGTTGCAAAAAATGTAATAAAAGAGAGCAAGGAATTATTTAAAATTAAGTAGGAACCAAGATGGTGCCAGATCAGCAGTCCTTTTAGTGAGCTCTTCGTAAGTTTAATTTTATTATTTCCTTTTCTTGACCAAAAAAAAAAAGACGGTGCGTAATTCCATTGAGAGAATGGGAGATGATAACAACTCCAGGGTAAAGTTTAAACTTAAGATCAAACAAAATAACAAAACAAACACAGAGTTTGCTTCCTTTAAAATTTCTACTAGTAATTGTTAGGCTTGGTTGGACTGTGAGTCAAAAGAGCTTCTCTCCTCAGAGGATGACAGGCATCTCATTTCTTCCTTTTCAGCATTTTTTAACTATTTCTTTTCAATGCAATGAGGGCTGTTCAGAGTAGAGTCATGAGCTCAATTAGTAATATTTAATTCTTGGCTTAAACTTATCTTGTCAGCCTACTGGACTGCTCTACTGTCTTAAGTGATACATTTCAGTTCACTAGAAAGAAGTCCCTGAAGCAGAAGCTCCTTTCATGTGACCTTTCCCAGATCATTTTATTAAACCTTGGCTGGCTAAAAACTTGACCTGCCAACAATTACTCAAAATTGAGCTGCTGTATTATTTTAAATGACTGCCCATCTTTTTTGTGTTATCAAAAACAAGCAATCAAAGAGGCATGGCTCCCTATATTTACTCCATGACTTACTCAAACTACAGCTGAGTTTCTATCAGCGCTCACTGTAACGCCCTTCCTTCAGTACTGCTATCACAAACTCCCTATGGCTCATTGTCTCTGCCCCCATGGCACACGAGAGGTAGAACTGATAACACATGTTCTTTTATATTGCAGGTTTTATATGACATTACATCAAAATGTTTTTTTTTCTCTTCTAGCAGAAATCCCCAGGCAACCAGGCAGTTTCTATATTGATTACCTGCTTGCTGGTAAGGTTTTTATATAACCTATAATGTTGCAAAGTTTCATTATTTAGCATCAAGGCTTCATCAGGGGATCCATAGTAGGAATTAGGATAGGTTGCTGTATATTCTTATTTGTGTTTATTTTTATTCTTCCCCCCACCCCTTTTTATCTTTGTTTTATTTGCTGGCTAAAGGCTATAAAGAAATTGATGTAATGATTAAGATTTTCAGCAGAGAAAATACTGAGTGATTTTGATGGAAATTTTAAAAAAATGTTTGGGAAGTTGGTAAAAGGGACTAAGCAAAAAGCCTCCAGCAGTGATTGATTTATTGATTGATTGATTGATTGATTGATTATGTGCCATCAAGTTGCTATTGAGTCTTTGTGATCACATACACAGATTTTCTCCATAATGATTTGTCCCTAACCTGGTCTTCAGGTCTTCTAATGATGCATCCTGGCCACTGTAACTGAGTCCATCCACCTTGCTGCTGGTCATC